AACATTGTCATAATCACAATGATAAATATGAAAATGCTGGTAATCCTGGTATTAACTAAAATGAAAAATTCCATATTTTAAAGTGGCACTGAACAAAATAAAAAGCCAAGAGAATCTTCATCATTCAGGGATCTCAAGGTACTCAGAAATCACTTCGAAATCCTCCCTTAGGTTATAATCTATCAACATATGCTTACTTAAATAAATGAAGAAAAACATCAGCACTTAAACAAAATTATGTCTCATTCTGTTTTACTTTTTCAATTATGAGTTTGTCAGAATAATCTATTTCTATTATTTTGTATTTCAGATGTTCTGCATTTCGACTTCGTCCAAAATTAAATTGATGTTTACAGGCTAATCTGGAAACCTAAAAACAAACCGTTTCACTACATCTATAAGAAAGTATGTCCAGATTCCCAGTGGCTGACTTATAAAGGGGCTTTAGAATACAACCCAATGTAAGTTACAGACATACTATGTTTTGGCCTCTGTTACATCCCCCGGAGTTAGGGCATGTGTCTGTTTGCATGTATACACGTGTGTGTGGATTGCATACACATGTGTGTTTACACATACACATTTTCACAATTCTGGGTTTATAACACCATTTGTTCCTTCCTTCAGTGGATATTAGAAAGCCTTCTATGTAAAACTGTAGTTCTGGATATCCAGAGATGAGTCACTGTCCTCACAGAGTTCGTACTCTAATGGGGCGACACACAAATTGCACAAATGCCTATGGAACGCTCACCGTGAGAGTTGCTGTGAAGGGAGATCATGCAGCCTATGTGAGCGTATAACCAGATCCCACCTTGTGTCCAGGGTCAGAATGGGTTGTCTGGAGAGGGCAATGGGCCAGTTAAGATCTCATAGGTGGGAAGGAGTTAAAGAGACAAAGAGAGTGAGAGGTGACGAGGGAGGGGCAAGGATGGGCTACAAAGTGCTCCAGACAGAGGGAACTCATGTTCAAATACTGTACCTGCTTAGTTAGGTACTTGTGTTGACTTTTTCCGGGAGTGACCACTGAGTAGCTGGGAGACTTTTAGCTGAAACCTTACCATTAAAAAACTAATTGTAATCATACTAGAAAATGAGAAGCCACAAACAATTTCACAAGCACTTGAGCTTTTTTTGTATTTCAGGTATAAAGTACTCCTTGAGACCTGACAACCACCTTGAAGATGGAATTATGAATATGGCAACTTTTTTACGGGGCTTTGAAGAAAAGGGGATAAAGAACGACAGGCCTGAGGACCAGCTGAACAAAGAGAAAAAGAAAATTCTGTTCTCCTTCTGTGAGGTCTGCAACATCCAGCTGAACTCCGCAGCCCAAGCCCAGGTCCATTCCAACGGCAAATCCCACCGCAAACGGGTGAAGCAGCTGAGTGATGGGCAGCCCCCGCCCCCGGCTCAGGCCAGCCCCAGCGCCAACACCGGTGCAGGTAGGAGGCAGGCCCCGCTCTCCTGCGCCTTGTGGAGTGATGGTTCTGGTCTTGAAAACGAAGGATTTAGAGCAAGAATTAACTTTTACCTTAAAACTACCACGGCAATAATATGTACTCTTTTCCCTACAGGTAGAATCCGTGAGCCATTTTTCTCTTCTCAGAATGTTTTTTATGCACTCAGATACACACGCAGGCCCCCCACACATACACAGTTTGTATATTCCTATTTCCCCATAGTGTGCGAACATTTCCAAATGTATTTTGAAATGTATTTAAAATGGATCAATGATGTCATTTTCCCCTCTTCTCTCAAAATTAGGCTTTCTTGGGTTTCCTTTATCTGCTTTCTACGGGGTGGCATACCGCTTGACAGTGTATAAAAAGCTACAGCTTTATTTATAACATCCCATGATGCAGGAAGGAGCATTAATCTTGCATGTTAGATTTGTCATGTTCTTTTTGCGAGTTGCCAGCAGTGTACCGGGGTGTTCTAACAATAGGAACAGGCATTGCCAAAACCAACAAGGCTTCCCTCTGAACTCCGGAACCATCATCACTTTCACCTGCCGCCCGCCTTTTCCTTGTGGGCTGGGTAGAGGCAGAAGCTCAGGAATTTTTACATTCCTGCCTCTGCCCTGAATTCTAAACAATCTTTCAAATCCTTTATCTTATCCTCAGGCAGCCCTTCCTCCTCCACATTGCTGGTCATTAGGTGGCCTCACTGTGTCAGAACTAAAGAAAAATGTGAAATTTGCTGTTATCCGTGGTGAAGATTTCTACAAAAGGTGGGCCTCCTACCCAGGTTTTAGGTGGGAGGCCAAGATCAACCTCCTCCCTAACGTGGTGGCAGAGTTCCACATTCCGCTCTGGCAAGTGTTTGCTCTGTAATGAGGCCTCAACTTGGAGTGAGAGGAAGCAGAGAAGCCCATTTGTTGGAATTTCACTCAGTGCTGTGACATGGTTCTTCATTTTGTGTGTGTGTGCTGTAAATGAATAATTTCTATGTATCAAGCTAAACCTAACTACTTCTTATTCAGTATATGGTTTAATTTTATTTAACTATTTTTTCCAACCAATACTTAACATGCTGTAAAAGAAAGTAAAAGAACCTACAGAATATAAGATACATACTTACAATAATGAAAAAAATCACTTTTCTATTTTCTATTTATTTGTTATTATGATAATTATAATCATTCACAGATGCATTAATGTACCTGAATTTACATATTAAAACATAGTTAGTGTTAGGTTAAAAACTGATACCTAAATCAGAGAGCAAATAACAGCCTGAGTAAAGGTTTGAGTTACATCTGTTAGAGTGCAAACGTCTATAGACACTGCAGTCATTAAAAATTATATTTATGAAGAATATCTGATGGCAGAGGAAATTGTCTATGGCATAATACTAAGTGAAGCAGCAGGAATGAAATGGAATATACCTTCTTGCCGTTATGTGTGCATGTGCACGTTTAGAGTCTCAGCTCAATGAGGAGCAAGCCTGACATCGTTTTATTTTTTTCCCGTCACTTTCCTCAGTTTTGATCTATCAAATTTCTGTTTCTTGTTGGGTAGAGGCTCCCTTAACACCCTCTCAGCCCATAATGTCTCACTTTTGTATATTCAGAAAGACCCTTTGATTTAGAAGAGTCAGTTCTATTTATAAAAACATCCTTTCATCGCCAAATTAAGATTTCGCTAGACAGACCCTGGGACTCAGAGTGGAGGGCTCCCACTCTGCCCCTTCCTCAGCCTGCTTTCCAGTCAGAGGTGAGAAACCATGGAGGGTTGCAAGGGCAGAGGTTACCTTATAGCCTTGGCAAGGTTGCGATACTGTTCTTAGTTGTTGCTTGCTGTTCTGGCAATCTTTGAGGGTCATAGGTGCTCCTAACAGACCCTGTGGATGAAGAGCTCCCCCAGGCAGTCCCTTAGGCATTGGGGTCCCTTAGGCATTGGGGGTCCCTTGTGAGATAGCTACATCTTCTGGCTTACCCCCAGCTGGTAGCAAAAGGCTCCATTCCTCCGCCATGTGTGCCTCTTTCAAGATTGCATCCTCTATTTTCATTCGTACCAACTCCTGGGGTTTGAGGGCACATACAGAATCCATCTGACAATTAACATTCCTCTTGAAAACCTGGAGCTACTGGGGCCCAGGCAAGTAGAGGGGGAGGGGGCCTGGGGGGCTTTTCTTTCTTGCTCAGGTAGCATATGGGAGACTAGCAAGCCCACTGACAAAGCAGGCATCTAATTAGGGAACAAAATACCAGTCTCCTTTTTTTTTTGCCCATCACTTGGCTTTAGAGAGTATTATGAATTGAATTGTGTTCCTCGACCAAAAAAAAAAAAAATACAAAAAAAGATGTGTCGGAGTCCTAACCCCCAGTCCTTCAGAATGTGACCTTATTTGGAGTTAGGGTTTTTACAAAGATAATTAAGTTAAAGCCAAGTCATTGGCATGGGCTCTAATCCGATATGACTGATATCCTTATGAAAATGGGAAATTTGGACACAGAAACAGGCATACATGGAAAGAAGAGGATGTGAAGAGATACAGGGAAAAGGCTGCCATCTACAAGCCAAGGAGACAGGCCTGGAACAGATCCTTCCCTCACAGCCCTCAGAAGAAACCAACTCAACCGATACATTGATTTTTGACTTCTAGCCTACAGAGCTGTGCGAGGATAAATTTCTGTTGTTTTAAGCCACCCAGTTTGTGATACTTTGTTACAATAGCCCTAGAAAACTAATACAGGGAGGGAATATTGTAGCCCATTTCTCCCTCATAGGGAAAAAAATGTGGTAGTAGAGATATTCTTATCAAGAACTGTAAATTTAAGAGGTGGCTTCCCCTCAGTCAGTTTTATAGTGTTGGCGTTGGCGTGAATGGGAGTGGGGTCCACAAGGTAATGGCTGAGACATGAGACCTTTCTCTGAATAAAAGGTGACTGACCTGTAACCACTGGAAGTTCTTCCACTAAATTGAGAATTCAGGGTGTTTACGGAACTTTTACATCTCAACTTTTGGAACAACAGGAGGATCCTTAGAGTGTACCTAAAACCATTCTGCTATTAGAGAGAGAAACAGAGAGAGTGTGTGTGTGCATGTGTGTATCAATGTGCCAATGTAATTTTTTTCCTAAGTGAGGAACTCATGATAAGTAGCAGAAAAATCCCTTTCCCAAAATTATTGTGTGAATACTCCAGGCTACATAAGGGAGAATCAGAGGGGAAGCAACAAGAGCTCAGATAACTTAGTCTGTATGTACCAGATCCCTATTTCTTTCTCCATCCACTTTCATGGGTTAAGTAGAAATAACAGAAACCACAGATGGGTCTTTGCTTCTGGACTAAATAGCCGAATGCTTCCATCCCTCACAGGGCCCACAAAGACAGTAAGATCCTTGTGTTCTTGGCCTCTAGCAAGGGTGCAAGGGTGGGCAGATGGGCCTGAGTCAGTCTCATGATTTCCTGTGGGCTTAGTGAGTGCAGAGGCTGCTGCATGAGCTTGAGAACCACAGAGGGGCATTTGAGAAGAACAGAGAAAAAGCCTTTCCTGTTGGACTGGGGCAGTGGCAGGAGAAGGTCTCCCATGTGCCATGACAAAGAAACACCTCATTGTACCTGCATACACTAATGACCAAATACTAGACAGGCATAATAATGCCTCAGAGAATGTCTATGTGCAGAAGTGACAGCAGGCCTTAAAACATCCTACCTGAGCCTTGGGACCATGTAAGCCCCTAAGCACCCTCTGTATCCCACCCCAAATCTACATGCAGCTCCAGGGAAAGATTCACTCTATGCTGCCTGAAAGTAAGTTTCTGTCATCACATGGTATGGGGTTTGTTCTAGGCAAAGGAAATTATAAAAGAATGAATCTTGAAACTTTAGTCATGAAGGAAGAAAAAATAATGGAAATAGTAGAGTTGTGGTAAGTAATAAACTATTTGTATCAGTCAGGGTTCTCCAGAGAAACAGAACCATAGGAGAAAGGAATTGGCTCACACAATTATGGAGGCTGCCAAATCTCAAGATCTGCAGTTGGAAAGCTGGAGACCAGAATTGCTGATGGTATAGTTCTAGTCCAAGTCTAAAGGCCTGAGAACCAAAAGAATTGATGGTGTGGTTCCAATCTGAAGGCTAGCTGGCTCAAGACTCAGGAAGAGCTGATGTTTCTGTTTGAATCCGAAGATAGGAAAAATTTGATGTCAGAGCTGGAAGGCAGTCAGGCAGGAAGAATTCCTTCTTAATCAGAGAGAGTCAGCTTTTATTATACTCAGGCCTTCAAGCAATGAGGCCCACTCACATAAGGGAGGACAATCTCCTTTACTTAGCCTTTCAATTGAAATGTTAAACTCATCCAAAAATATCCTCATAGAAATATTCAGAACCATGTTTGACTAAATATCTGAACATACAGTGACCTAGTCAAGTTGACACATAAAATTAACCCAATAATCACATAATCATTTTCCTAGAGTTTTATAAATCATATTTGATGGCTGAAACAAAAATTATAACCATCTGATGCTAAAGACAATTATATTTACAAGTGGGAAGTTAAAGGAACCTAAATGAAAATAAGGGTTTGTACTTCACTTAAAGTAGCTAAATGATGATGCCAATAGATTTTCATAAGTCACATATGTATAGCATTATAATACTCATATAATACTCATTAATACTCATATAATACTCATTATAATACTCATATAATACTCACTATGAAAACTATACAGAGATATATAATCAAAAAGAATATAAATAAATCATGAAAGAGTCCTACAAAATGTTCAAGTAAGCCACAGGATGGCAAGAAAAGAGAAATGGAGGAACGAGAGCCAAAAGAAACAAATAGAAAACAAATAATGAAATGTCAAACTTAAGTACAAACATATCAATACTCATCTTAAATGTAAATGGCCTAAATATACCAATTAAAAGACAGATATTTTCAGAGTGGATTTTTAAAAATGACCCAAATATATGCTGCTTAT